TGCTCTGTTTGATTCCTTCACTATCAGTGAATGGGTTCATAAAAAATAACCCCCAGTTATTAGCCCACAACATCACAAACCTGCTTTTAGTGAGCTGTTACCTGGCTCTGGCTGGGATGTGGTGCTGGCATGAAATGATCCTGAAGGGCTGCACGCTGTGAAATGGAAATGAAGTTAATGGACCTCGAAGACCTGGGAAAGAGCAGCGTTTTTCCTCAGTGCTGGCATGGCCAGAACAGCCCCAGGGACTGGGGCACCTGTTGCTCATTGATGTTTTTAATGGAGTTTGAGCTCCTCTTTCCCTTGGGTTGCTTTGAAAGTCACAGTTAAAGGCTCTCCAAGTTAATGGAAATGCTTTTATGCCTTAAAGATTTCATCAAGCTGAAGTGTTTGAAATCTTGCTTGCTAAGCTGTTAAAAATGTTGGATGAATATGTAAAAAGGAAGAAAAAAGGCCAAAAAGCTAAGATTAAATTTTTCTGTACTAAAACAAAGGAAGTTTTTTGGCCCACCATGGCTGAGGTTGTACTTTGGGCCATAACACAAAAGGATCAAAACCAGTTTTCTCTGTTCAAGGCCTGCACTCATTTCTCATCACATCTAGTCCTTAAAACAAGCTTGAGCTGACTTTTGAATAGTGATAGACTGCACTTCTGGTTGGGACAAAGGAACATCAATCCAAGTGTCAGGCAGCTTAGAAGGCAGTGTGTCCTCATGATTGTTTAATGGAGTACAAAGGGAATTGCCTTCAAGCTAGTGAAATCTCATATCCACTCACCCATTGGTGATGCTTCAAAAAAGAAGAGAATTGTTCTCTTATGAGTCTTGGCATAAAAATTTAATTAGCAGTTGAGCTCTTTGGGAAGATAAAAAAAAAAGTTATTTCTTTTTTTACAGTCTCTTTCCTTTAACTGTTTACTTTCTATTTCTGTATTCTTCACAGTGACATCTGCTGCCTTCTGCAGTTATTTTTTTTTTCCTCCTTCACCAGTGATTCTGAAATTATTTTCCCAGTTTCAGAAAAGTTTTTTGTTTGTTTGTTTTCTGGGGTTTTTTTTGCATTATGTTGCACTAAATTTGAACAGTTTTGGAAAGATATTCAGAACACAAGTCAAAGTAATAGATGAAAACTTAATCAGACAATATATAGTGGATACAAAACTGCTGCTGTTGCATAAAAGAATAATAATTGCAGTCATTGATGGATTTGTTGAAATTACTCATTCTATATATGAGTACAGATGAGTACATATTAATCAAAAAATCAGTCCTCACCTGAAATCAGATCCTATTTACGTTATTTATTACATTTTCATCTCTTTAGCACAAGTTATTTTGCTCTTAAAGGCATGAAATCTTATGACAGTATGTATCTGCAGTGTCCTAGTGTGTTTCCTGTGAGAAATGAATTTGATTTTTAAAAATTTCCTCAGATTTAAACAAAAATTATTTCAGCTTTCTTTCATCATGAGGGGCAGAAAATAAAAGATCAAGAAGGGCCCCAAACCTTCAACTCTGGTGGCATTTGTTCATAATGTCAAATGTCTTAACATCAAATTAATTACAGTTCTGATCCAATGTGACAAATTTTCCAGAAGTGCACTGGTGTGTTGTGATCACCTTGAAGCTCAGATGTTTGTGTGTGGTTTGTTCTCTGCAATTACCAGAAATACTTCAAATAATAAACTTTAGGACTCTCTTAATTGAAATTGTAGCCAAACCTGCTTGCATTACCTAGGAGTTGACCTTTATTTTTCTAGCTGAAAACCAGAAAATGAATTTTTCAAATGGGTGATATGGAGCTGTTCTTCTTTAGAAACGTTTCCTATTTTCATGTCTTGCACAAGCCATTGTCTTTTAAACTTCAGAAAGCTTTGTTTTCAGTTTGAAAACACTGAAACAAATTGTTTTGGCACTTCTGAAGTTCCCCTTCCTTGGGAGAGCAGGCTCAGACTCTGGGTTGGAGAAGCTGAACACAACAGTAAATATTCCCCTTGCAAAACCAGACTCCTTAAGCTCCCAGAACAATCTTGTTGTCCACGTAGGCCAGTATAGGAAACAGAAATACTCTTACAAGTGACAAGGCTGTGTTTGACCTTCTTTGGTCCTTAAATTTGGTTGTTTTCCTGTAGGAAAGTATCACTGGAGGAGTTCTGGGGACAGCCAAAGGTGATAGAGAGAATCCATCATCAGAAGGCATGAAAAGACACTTGATTATTAGAAATCTACCGTGCTTATATGGTGGATTGAAGACCTGATTGGCATTTAGGAATCTTCTCTCCCACTATTGGTGAATAGCACACTCTGGAGAACTTTGTCTATAAGCAATGGTTACAGAGAGAGAATCATTCATTGTGTGAATTCTTTCCTCTGAAGTTTCCCACAGCTTCTACACAGCTTCCAGGATCTTCCTGGGAGAGCCATGTCTCTCTCTGGTCAGAGGATATGAAATTATTACAGGCAAGAAGAGGTCAGGGAGTCTGAGTGTGCTCAGGTAAAGGGGTCATGTTGAAGTGAAGGGAGCGACCCACCTTTGTTGGTTCAGCAGCTGACTCCGATTTATTGATCAACCAGGCACCTTTTATAACAGTGTTAATTCACTTCATGCATATTGCAAAATCTGAGCTCCTGATAGGCTGTAGAGAAAACTTCAGCTCCTCCTTTTGTTTACAATACTTGAAGTTTGTTTATTGAAACCGAGATCAGTGTTCCCACCATGATATGAAAAGTTCTCAAAACCTTTATATCTGTTCCCAGAGCAGCCAAGGACAGAATATTGCCTGTTTTTGAGGAAACGGTCTGAGAATCTTGTTGTTTATATAAAAGGTGGCTGAGAACCTTAATTATTTACAGAATCAAGCCTGGTAACTGCTGCTTTACAGCGGCCTTTTATTTTTCCCTTAGCTGAATACCTTCATGGCCTCTTTCTTTAAGCCATGCTTGAACCAGGCTCTCCACAGGGTCAGAGAAGGGTTTGGGGTGGAAAAGATCTTTAAAGGTGCCCTAGTTCCTCTCCCTGCCGTGGGCAGAGGCAGTGCTTGCTCCTCTTGCGGTAATTGCTGACCCAGCTGGGTTTTTTGAGGTTTCTCTTCCCTGGGGAGAGCTGCATGTGTGAGTATGGTTTAATTTCACTCTGCTCTGCAAATTGCTTTGGGCTTTTTCTCTTTACAAAGTCACCTGATGTAAAACCTGGGTTTGGAGAGGTTTAAAGCCCTTGGCTTTGGAAAACTTCCAGTAAATAAAGCTTTGGGCTGCTGCACCTCTGAGTTTTGGCTCTGATTTATCAGGTGAGACCAACCTGCAGAAAACTCCCTGTTGTTGTAGTGTGTTGTTAAGTTTCTTGTGTTATTCCCCCAATTTATGTATTGTTCTCCCCTATTATGTGTAAAATGGTTTCGTTCCCCCAGTTTTTCCCGCCACTGCTACCCTGTCAGCTAAGTTGCTATAGTAACCGCTATTCATAGTTGCCGATATGTAATTGCTCCTCCCCTGGTTTCCCTTATAAGTGAAAGTTGTTTCCTCCCTAGGTCCAGTCAATCACCCCCTTTCTCCTCCCAGGTTTTGAGAACCTTCTCCCTCTGGAGGTGGTGGCTGGCTGGGGTCCCAGGACACCTCCTTTACCTTTTGATTATTGGTCTCCATGGACTGTCAGTTCTGTGAAGTTCATCCCCTCACCTTTCCCGATTGGTTCCGCCTGTACCCACCCCCCTCCTTTATAATCCTGTTTCACTCCCTATGGAAAAACTTTTTCCCGGCTGGTTTCCCCGCGTTTGGATCCCGCAACACCTTCAATAAACCGATGTTTAACCCCCGGGAAATGGTCAGCTCTGTTCCTCCCCTATACCAGCGGTGTGAGCCAGTCTGCAGCCAGCACAGCCCGAGGCCCTCAGACGCCGAAGGGCGCTGGCCAGGAATTGCAGAGGGGCGTCGGCCTTTCGCCCTCAGCTAGCCGGACTCTGAACTTCGGGCCTGTACGCCCCCCCTGCACCCTGTGCCCTCCCTCAGCACCCATCCCTTGAGCCCTGATAACCCAGACCTGAAATGAGCACTGAAAAGCAAAAGCCAAACTTCCCTGGCCGTCTGATATTAATTCAAAGCCAAGAGAAGTTAAAGAGCTCTGAAGGGCTCTGTGGAAAAAGGAGTATGGTTTCAATGAAGTGAGACAATTTAGGTAGTCATGAGAAGCTTCTGGAACTTCCAGCTGCAGCCACAGATCACAATTCTTGCTTTTCCTTCCAGTGCATGACAAAAGATACCCACACAAATTGCTTTCTACAGAACAATGGGACCTCAACATTTTATTTTGATGCTCTTAATTGCAAAATAACGTAATTACAGAATGATGAGGTTTTTTAGTGTGTTTGTTTGGGTGGATTGTTTTTGGTTTTCTGGATTTTTTTTTTTGTTTTCTGTTCTTTTGGGTTTTTTTGCTTTGTAAGAGGGCTAATAGACACAATAATGAAATGAAAAGTGTTTTGAGAGAATGAGACATTTCTGGTAGACTTAGATTCTTCTTAAGCTTGACAGCCCATCCTGTTTTAGGAGTAAGTCTCTTTTGGAGATATTCTCTAAGTTATCTCTTTTTTCTATCAGTGGAAGAAATTTTCTAGGCTGCTTCTTTCTTTTGCTTTGTGATCCTGCAAATGCAACTGTCGTGTTTCAAAGTCTGAATCTTGACATTTGAAAGGCATTTCATATTTTACATTTGTTACATAATTTTTTCAGGAATTATAAACAATAATTATAAGAGGCTGGCATACATGATTGTAAATTGATAATAAATGACTACGTGATTTATTCAATCTCACAGTGTTATTTGCACACTTTCCCCAAAAAAAAGAGAACAATTTTTTCTCCACAGTAGAGTTTATGGAACTTTTATAAAGTTGTAGAACAACTTCAAAGGTGTAGACTTTTAAAACCCATTTTCTGAAGGGTGTATTTATAAAATTTCTAACTAAAATGCAGTGAGGTGGGATGGCAGTATAGCAATTTATTAATAAGGATAATTCATGCATGCTGTGTCATAGTTTGGGAGAAATTCTAAATGAGCAGAACTCTTCTGGGGGTTTTTGGTCATCACTTCAAATTGTGAAAAATTCATATCTTTCATTGGTTTTTTTCAGTTTTACAGAATTTTTGGATCCATTCCAGCGAGTGATCCAGCCAGAGGAGATCTGGCTGTACAAAAATCCCTTGGTGCAATCAGACAACATCCCCACACGGCTCATGTTTGTAAGTACCAAAGGGCATCTGATGGCTGCAGACTGAGTGAGTGTTCCTTTGAGAAGCAGCAGGAAATATTTCACAAATAGAGGAAGTTCCTTTAAACCTAAAGTCAATTCTTTTCCAAGCCAGTGTTGTCCAAAATGTAATAAATGATGGGAAGTCTTTAAAAAGCAGCGTTATGAGATGACTGAATTTGTGAATGTTGATTTTTCAGTTAAGGATTGAGAGCAGTGTTAGCTGAGAGGGATGTGAGGGAAATGAGTAGAGGAGTTTTTCCAATTAGCTGGTTGGGTGACCTGACAAAACCTTGCCATGCTCTTAGAAGGTTAAGTGCTTAAATTTTGAGATCCAATTTGTTTTAGTCGTGTTAGGCACTGAGATACTGGACTCTGAATAATCTTTTTATTTTTTTTTTTTCCCCTAGAGGCAAAACCTTTGTTTCAGCTTCTGCCAACACTAAATATATCACAGAGCTGCCCTGCTGTCACTGCTCCTCTGGCTCTGCCCTGCTCAGCACATGCAGGCTGGATGGCTGAATTTGATCATCAAACTTCATAATTTTGATAACCTTCACAAGCAATGATTAATAATCATGATAATCTCTATATATGACTGCAGTAAAACACACCGACTCAGAAATGCTGAAATTATGGCTCTAGTTCAGGCTGTAAAAGTGGTAGTTCAGTCTTCGCAACAGCTGCCTCAAAGTCACCTTTTCCTGAGTCTTCAGTGAACCCAGGGTTTTACTTTTCAAACTTGAATTCAGATTAATTGCAAATCAGCTATATAATTTCTATTCAACTTTTTAAGAAATGCTTAATCCTTCATTTATAATGAAATTTTAATTAAGGAACCGTTTAAAGGCACCTCCTGCATATGAAGTGACCATTTATCTCAGCCTTCTAAGGTAGAGGAGAGGCTGAAGGCCTGATTTTTAAATTTGCCTTTATAAACAAGAAACATTTTGTTTATATTGCATTAAGAAGCAGCTCTATTTTGGACTTTTTAATATTGGATGGAAGAAAATATATGTTTTTCCTGAAATGGACGACAGCTGTGTAAAAAACCTAAAAACCAAAAATCAAACAACAAACAAACAAAACAACCCCCAAGCCAAACATTAAATTGTTGTGCTGGGAAAGACTGAGTTTAATGGTGTGGTTTTTGCTCGTGCTCAGCATTACTTTGCTACATGGTTTCTCTGATCTGTTTGTAACAGAGGAGTTCAAGAACCAAGAGTGAGTCATTGCACAGGGTTTTGCTGCAGAGGGGAAATGATTTTTGAAACCAGTTGGGATAATCATTAGTCCACCCTCTTATTCCCCAGGGGAATAAGGCACTGGGAAGCACAGTTCTGGGATGTAGTTATAATATATTCCCATAATAATATTCCCATTTAATATGTTCCCATAGCTCCAGATTTTGGCAAAGTTTGTGGTGGGTGGAACTTAGAGGCAGCTCTGTGTCAGTATGGTCTGTATTCTCTTTCTGGTTCAGATTTTAAACAATCAACAGCTTCTTAAATTAAGAAATATGGGTAATTCCTATATTTTTTCTTATTTTTTTAAATCTAAAAGAAGAAAAATCCTACTCTAGCATTGCTCACAAGCTTTGATTATGGAAAGAATTTGTTGCCACTGCTGTACTCCGATATTGAAATTATGGCCATGGCTTATCAGAAAGCAATCTCTAAGACTTTATGATTTACTGGATTATTTTATTTGCTATGAGAGACTTGAATTCAATAGAAATGTTGTGAATGCACATCCAAATTAGACAAAGCTGATTTCTGCATGGGGAGCAAAAGCAGGAATGAGCTGAGCCTGGTTCTGTCTCTCTATCAAAGGATATTCCTTGTCTTGCAAAGTGCAGGTTCCAAGCTTTCCTTTGGAAAAGTGGAATTGTGTCCCTGTAACTTCAGCATTGCCAGGCTGAATAATAAATGACAGAGATTTTGTCCGTGTTTCCCAATAGCCTGGCAAGGCAGGAATATTTCACTGCTGGGAAAGGAAACAATGCTGAGATGCATCTGAGGAGAGTATTGCTCATTAGAATGTTGCCAAATCTGTGTTAGATATGAGCCACAGAGAAACTTTTTTGCAAAATAAATAAAAGGAGTCTGTCACAAGCCAGAATTTCTTTGTGTGTGCATTTTGCTGCAGAATAAAGAGCACCTTCCAGCTACTGCTTTTGTGTAAGGAGCAGCAATACACCATGAACATGAATAGTTCATCTCCCTAAAAAATTCACATGCTTGTAAAATATGAGGAAATCTGCAGTTTTACCAGATTTCTGAAGATGGATGGGGAAGTGGTTTGGAGCAAGCTGCCACTTGAATGCTATTCTTTGTTGATAATTTCTGATGCTCCTGCTTGTTCAAAAGATTTCTGACTCCATTAAACCACCACTATGAGCCTGTCAGCCTTGGCTGTATTTCTACATGTTCTTCAGTCTGGAATGCAGTTATTTTTAATCTCTTTTTCTTTTTTTTTCTTTTCCTGGTGGCAATACTTATTTTTAAGAATGAAACTAGAAATTCTAGGATTTGCTTCAATTTTTTTTTAATTTCACACTGTCTCTGAAAGCAAAAATTAAATTGTTGATGAGTACAGAGAGAAGTGAGTATTCTGAGTAATGTGGCATTGGCATCCAAACTTGAATTTCACACATACTTAGGGGGAGATTTTAAGTGGAAGTGACTCCTCTTTTTGCACAAATTCTGGTGCCTGCCTTCCTAAAAATGTAGAAAAGGAGAACAGACTCCAGCCTTTGTTTTAATCTGCATGGTTCACTGAGTTAGTATTTTGGATATGCAGGCAAGGACAATCTGGTGCAAGATGCACAGCCAGAATTACCAACATAGCCTGCTCTCGTGTTCTTTCCTGCTCAAATTGTCTAAAATCATAAAGTGAGGACTGGGATTAATCTGTGGTATAAAAAGAAGATTTTTGCCATAATATATCAGTCTGTTCTGGTTTTTCTGTCACTGGGGCTATTTAAGAGTAAGGCCCAGTTCAGCTTCAGTAAAAAAAGCATAATCTTACTTAAGACCTGGCACCCCTTGTGCCGTTTACAGCTTAATTTTTGCCTTGTTAAATCAAACAAACAAACAAACAAACCCAAACCTCAACCAGGAATTTTCACTTTTTTTAAAGAGAATAAAATGTGTGCACTGAGGCACAGATGCCATTTCAGGTTCCTGGTAGGAGGATTCCTGTCCTTCAGCACTGACAATTACAGGATATTCTGTTTAACCAGTGACTAAACCTGGGGATTCTCAGGTGTTGTTTTTCTGAGTTTGAACAAAATAAAGCAGTTTGCTCCGCATCTGAACATTTGTAAACAAAAGAATCATAAAGACACAATCTTCCCAATGCATTCAAGCATGACAGTTGAAAAGAAAACAAAAAGAAAGATAAAGAGAATTTTAAAATTCCAAGAGGTTGGTGCTGCTGTCTGTTGTTTTGAGTAGGGGCGTACTGAGCCCAGGTGGTTGGGCTGCCTTCCTCAGCAATGCACCCTGAGGAAAAAATGCCCAAAATCTGTATTTTGGAATTTTGTGGACCTTATGGACTGTTACTTTTTCATTGGAGGAGCTGACATTTTAAATGCATCTCTGGGCAATTACAAATCAATTATAGCTGAGGGCTCTATTGGAATATTAATGTGCTCCTCACCCTGGAGTTGCAAAGACAAATCATCCCACTTTGCTTAAGGTCAGGAGTTTGATAAAGATCATTCAGTTTAAATGGAGCTGGCTGCAGCTAATTATTAATCAGTGGGGCAGAGAAGGAATTGATGCTCTCACTCATGGTGTTTGTTATCTCTCACAGGCAATTTCCTTCCTCACGCCGCTCGCAGTCATTTTTGTGGTGAAAATAATCCGTCGAACAGACAAGACCGAAATTAAAGAGGCTTTCTTAGGTAATGTATGTCATTCTTCAAGGTGGAAAAGTGCCTGATGGCTCTCAGAGATTGATTCCAAGTGTAGTCCAGGCCTTGAAGAAAACCTGTCTCCATTACAGCCCATTATAGTAATTTTCAGTGCAGTTCCAGGGCGTCTCACAGAAGCCTTTGGGTTTATGTGAGTTTGTAGAGGTACAAATTCTGTGCCTTAGTTCCACAATTTAGCCAGCAAGGACTGGAATTTGATCAGCAAAGACAGGTCCATCTGAGAGACTGCTCAGATGTATATTTTTTCTGTCACACCCAATCTATTACTTACCTCTTACTTGCAGCTATTCTAAATCAAGGCTTTGACTGGAAAGTCCTGTGCAGCTCGGCTGTTTAGTGTAGAAAATTACTCCTCTCATTGTTTTCTCTGATCTTCTCCTGCAATTTACTGTTACCCATTGCAAAATCCATGCTCTTGGCTCAGTTTTTCTAATTAGAAGCTGTTGTTTCATCCTTAACTGCCAATGGAATTAGCTGTGCACTTCATCCTGGACTGTGAGCAGTAGTTGCTGTGCTATGGGTTAGGTCTAATTACAGCTGTAGGCAGGAAACTGGAGCAGAGGACAATGAAAAGGGTAAGTTTTAAGCTGTTCCAGCTAATTCTGGCTGTGCCTGTCTCTTGAAATCTTACAGTGGTATGTGCTTAGATCCTTTTTATATATATAAATATTGCCAGAGACCAATATTGATTCAAGCACTTTCACTGGCAAGGGATATCTTGAAGCATAAGAACTGCAAATGTTTTTGTTCGCCTTATGTTTGAAATATTCATATTCAGAAATTCTGTTTTACTGGCTAATTTGCACTTTATTTATTGCCCCTTACATGGTAAAATTAGAGCAATACTCAGCCTTGCTTTAACTAGGTAGGATGTAAATGGCACTGTGTAATTGGAAAAAAAATTTTTAGACAAGGCTTAATTTCCATAGATTATTCTTTCTCTAGTTGCTCTCACACAAGTGTGAAATGATCCTAGGTTTGTTTTGACTGCTGGCAGTCATTTGTTGTAAGTTCTGAAATGTCTTAGAGTGATGCTTCCCTGACAAGTCCATTCAGTGGAAATAACTCCTCGTTCATGAAACACACACAGTCAGTTCTGAGCCTCCCTCCCTGTTGTGCAAGCTTAGGCTCACTTTCTCCATCGCTTACTTTCACCTTTTTCTTCTAAGAAGACTTTATTTATTTTTTTCCTGTTGTTTTTCCTTCTGTTATTCCCTCTATAACATCTAGGAGAAAAGTTGCCAGCTTCCCCAGCATTCCCCTTGCTGCCCAGACTGAGGAAACACCAACCCTGATGTTCTGTTCAGTTTGTGCCATAAGTGTGGGACTTGTTGTGGTTTATTTGCCACTTATTTACCAGTTCAGGTGCACTGTACTCTAATAAAGTTCAGTATCTGGTGATGTGAAGGTCCATTAGGTGTGGTAAGCCTCTGGTTTGCTGAGATCTGGCACAGAATGTCCATAAAGAATGATCAGGGAGTCCCCCCAAAAGGTGGATTTCTTTAAGCATGATGCATGGAGGGGAGAAAAGGTGGAAAAGAGATGAAATTCTTTGCCCCTCCTATAGCCATTAATAGAGAGAAAGGGATTCAATGCACCTGGAGTAAGGAGGAGTTAATTTAGGTGTCCTTAAGCCTTCCCCTGGGAGTTCTAAATCTCTCACTGACTGGGTTATATGACTTTAGATGGGCAATAGAGATCTTTCTTAAAGGAAACAACAGCAGAACAAATAAATTTATTTTGTTTTACCATACTACATTCATACTCTCACTTGATGCTTGGCTTGCCAGTGTAAGGAATGTGCAACAGTGAAGGCACAGCTCAGTCAGGTGTACAAGGAACAGCCAAGACAAAACTCAACAAAACAACTGAATTTTACTGCCTGTCTTCAAAAGCAGACATGTTTTTTTAAGAAGGGCAGTGAAATGCTGTGGCATTGCTGGATTTGACTTTATGGAAAATTTACCCATGCAATTTCCATAAAAAACTGAGACAAAAAAATGGAGGGGAAAAGCAGAGCATGGGATTGAGTGGTCACTGTGAACACAGGTGTTGAAAAAATAGTTTATTTAACAGCATGGGTGTCTCTAGGATTGGCTTTTTCTTTCATTTTTCCTGGCAGCTATTGTCGCATTCTGAGAAAACCCTTATTTTTGCTTTGATGAAGGTCCCACTTTTTTCTTGTTTCAACTTTAAAAAAATACAACACTATAACATATTTTTATGATCTGTAATATCCTCAGGCAAAGGTTTTATGGAGACAGGATGAGTGCTGCTGAAGTGCAGCATCTGGGGCAGCAGCCCAAGGAGAAAATAGCTCAGTGGCTGCCATAATCAAAGCTGTATTACTGTAAATGTTCTGCTGGAAATCAAACATTTGCCTGATAATTTTTTTTTCTGATGGGAAATAAAATTCATTGGCTCCTGGTTTGCAACAGGGAGCTACGGTGTGGACTGCAAAATTAAATCATTTTTAATGTAAAATGTGTGTATGTGCAGGATCCAAGTGCCAGTGAAATCAAGGCAAAGATCTCCACAGGCTTGAGATGAGGTTCTTTGGAAAGTCTGGGGACTTGGCATGCAAGCACAAATGGAAGGGATGATTAATTCTCACCTAGTATGACAGTTCCTTCTTGTTCTCCAATTTTATCAGAAGAAAATTGTTAATCATGGGAGCAAACATGAGGGAAAAACACTGAAATATTTAATCAAAATATCCAAATCCTTTTGAAAGAGAAATAAAGTCATCCAGTTGTAATTTTGGCCAAAAGCAATGCTTTAGCCTGGAAGTGTTTAATTGCATCTCTCTCTCTCTCTCACACACACACACACACACACATATATATATATATAGATATATATATTTGTGTGTGTAGGTATATCTATATATCTTGTGTATTGCTCTATACAGAGATTCTGCTTGACATAAAGAGCATGAGAGTTTAATCTGGTAAATTACAAAACTCAAAAATTCCAAACCACAGTACTTAATTAAGTAATTTAAATAATTATTTACATATATTATATAAAATTTTAATATTATATATAATATATTATTGTGTATTATATAAAATTTTCTAAATATTATATAAAATAATAAAAAATAAGTAATTTTTTCCCATTTATTGACTTATGCCTGTGCAAATGGCATGGTAGGAAAACTGGCTTTGTGTAAAGAAATAAGAATAAAGTAAGTAATGATTGTTACAGTGCTCTGAGGTCCTTAGTCTGGCTAACAAGAAAAACAAGCAGTAAGCTAAAAAAAAGATCATTCAGTTTTCAGCCCAGTAATGGTTTAAGTCTGTAAATCAAATGCTGTAATGCTGCAGTTTATTGCTTGGTACTTAGGTTATTATTGTTCTCTTTGTTCTTTGTGTTTTGTAGCTGTTTCCTTGGCTCTAGCCCTGAATGGTGTCTGCACAAATACTATTAAATTAATAGTGGGAAGGTGAGTCTGTCATGTTCTAAATGATGGGTTTCACTCGAGAGGAATGGAGACAGACTGACAGCTGCAGCAAATCCCAGTGAACAGAGAGCTGCTGCTCCAGAGCACGTGGAGTCACAGGGGCCCTGTGGGCTGTGCTTGGCCTGGACAAGTTGTACAGGTGTTGTACAACTTCATTAGGTGACACCCCACTGTGGCAGGAATCCATGGCCGTGTTCTGCTGCTGCTTTGGCTGGCTGGCAGACCCAGACAAGAGAGGGCTTTGGGAGGAGTGGTGGGAACTGAAATCAGCTCATTAAATTGGCAGCACGGGAGAGGAGAGCCACAGCATGTGGGAGCTCAGATGCCAGTGCCCCTTGTCTGATTAAACAGGAATCAGTTCATTTTGGGACAAGCAGATTCTGTGTCCAGGTGACATCAACACCCACAGCAAAACAAACCTGGCAGTTGGGCAGTAAATGGATTCCTTAGTAGAACATTTCTTTAGGGAAGCATTGTTTTGAATGAAGGGCTTAGAAAATATGATTTAGGCATTTTTTGTCTCTTTATCAAAATTTTTAATAATTTCAGCTGAAAAATACGCATTGACTTGAGTTCATACACTGTAAACACAGTCCAGTGCTGCTTTTGTTGCTGGGATGTTTTGCAGCATTGAGGAAGCAATATTTGTGTTTGGTTTCTGATGAACCCTCTCTGCTGCAGAGCTGGTGCCCTGACAGTAATGGCACTTGGCACTTTTATTTGATAGGTACTTTTAAAATAATTAAGAAAACACCCACTTCTTTAGACAGGAATAAGCTCATTTATCCTGCACTCCAAGCCAAGTATTTTGCTGTCAGCTTGTCTCTAAATCTGTGATTATTCACTTTTCTTCTCCACATGGTTTATTGGCTCAGGATCAGTATGACACCAGCCTAACCTACAGGACCAGCTCACAGCAGGGTCAGGAGAATGTGAGAGGTTGCTCAATGCACTGAGACAGCATCAAGGCTGGTTTGGATTTTGGTGGCTGATTTTTGGATGTTCTGAGCTGGGGGTTTCAGCAAGACCTGTGAAAATTTGGGAGTCATGACACTTTGTGCAAGAGTAGCCTGCATGTGTGTGATAAGCAGTAAATGTAATAATCACTGTGAGGTTTATTTGGTACTACAGCTTTTTTTTTTGTATTTTTAATATCCATGGTGTTTTTTGTAGACCGCGTCCCGATTTCTTTTACCGCTGCTTTCCAGATGGAGTCATGAACTCTGAAATGCACTGCACAGGTGATCCAGACCTGGTCTCTGAAGGCAGAAAAAGCTTTCCAAGCATCCACTCTTCCTGTAAGTTTACTTGAACACAGTGTCTCTTCTGTAAAAAGCTGTCCTTTCTGTGGTTTGGGATTGCTCTTTTTCTTCTGGATCGTGAACTTGATTTTTGATGGAGGAGTCTGAATTTCTGACTTTCAGAAAGTCAGAAATTTCCTTCTGGAAATAAAATTGTGAGTCTGTGACTCTTCCTCATCTTGAGAACCACCTGAGATTATTCAAATCACAGCAGGACTGTCAGCAGAGTGAAGCATATTCAAGGTTCCAGAACCTTGTGATTTGGAGGGGCATCTGTTCCCCAGTGCAGACATTTGTCTGTATAGCAAATATTTATTTTGTTCTATTCCAATGAAGTAGGACAGTGCAGTCACTCTTCTTTTGGCTTTGAGTTGGTCCTCAGTCTTGCTCTCATGGTTAATCAGGTACCCCTCAGTTTGTGCTGCTCCTCACAGTGTTTAGGTGGCTTTTTGAGAATTAATCTACCTGATTTAATTAGTTTTACTAACTTAGGTGTTTGTAAAGGTTCCTTTCTCTGTCTTGAGAAGATGAGTTCTAGTGTGTTTTATGCCATATCTGATAAAACTTCTTTTCATGTGTAAAATAACCTGATTCCTGTAAGCTTCTTTGGATTTTTTTATTTGGCCAGTAATGTTTGTTACTTTCAACTGTTCTAAGAGCTGCCAATTGAGAACCACTAAGTTGTATCTATGGAATTTTTTTGCAAGTGGTAACTTCGAATTGCCTAATTGTACAGAAGTATATATTGCAAACAACTTGGGTGATGAGATGAATGAAATTGTCAGCTGATTTTTCTCCTTCTTTCTTGTTTGAGTCACAGAAATAGATAAGAGAGTACTAGATGTTTGTGGCTGTGTTATAAGCTTTAGTTCCAAGCCAGTGGGGCAGCCACAGGAGGAGTCCTGGGGTTTTCCTCTTACCTGGCACTGGTTGTATAAGCTCTGGGTGATGATGCTGCAGCTCACACCTAATTTATTGGAGCAGAATGATGTCCCAGAGTATTTGGATCAAAATTATGAGAGCAGCTTTCTCCCTCACTGACATAAGATTAGTGGGGCTGAGTTGAGTGTATTTCCCACCACAAAGCCTTTTATTAAAACGTGATAAGAATGAAGAGATATTATATATTCAGTAATTTTTATCACTTGGTAAGTGTATGTTAGAGTTTAGAGGCAATTCTGCAGCTGCTTGAACTACTTAGCTGTTTGAAGCCTGATGTTATAATATCTAAGCCTCTGACAAGCTTTAAAAATCCATACATTTTTTACTCTCATAATGGAGAAGAAAAGCATTTAATTTGACAATCATACAATGCTAGCCCTTCTTCTCTGCAGCAAAATTATTTCCATAACCAAAATTGTCAGTTTTATCAAGAACAGTTTATAGTTATGATCACAAGTTTAGTTTCTTGCTATTACTTCATTCCCAGTGGTATAAAGAATGGAAACCAAAAATGTATTATGGGAAGCCCACCATTATTCTGCTGTCCTACACCTTTGAAGCAGTGAGGATGTTTGGGATATAATAATTCATATTTGCAAATTGTGATGTAGTTTTCCATTTTCTTAGCTCAAAGAAAACTCTTAGCTTTTCCTGTCTTCTTAACGTGTGGCTATTTATGAACTTTCCTTCCATAATCTCAGCCCAAAATGTTTCCTTGGCACCTTTCTCCCTTCCTTCAGCACAAGATTGTTACGAGGTAAAGTGAAGCAGTTCCACTCTTCAGATTTCTGTCATCCTTCACTGTTTGTAGTGAAATTCATGGAACAGCACCAAAAAGGGTTGTTTGTTTGGTTTTTTTTTTTTGTTTGTTTCTGTTAGTGTTTGGGGGATTATTTTTTCTGTTTCATGACTGCAGAAATGTAAGTGGTGAGGATGAGGGTTGACATAAACTATAGTACCTCTCTTGGTATGATGGTTTTAAGTAGCCCACTACAGTTTGGTATTTCCTACTTCACTTGAACCCGTGGGGAAAACAAATCACAAGTAAAAGCTGCCAGGCAGCTCATAAAGAGGGGTTAGAAGCTTCAGTCAAGAGCCATTCTCATCTTCAAAATAGTTTTTCTAAAGGCATTTCTAGGATAGGCTGTCAATCACAAGCTTTGTTATACCAGGATCTAAAACTTCATCCATGCAAGACGAGGCCTTGAACGAGAAAATCCGCGGTGCTGTAAATGGGGAGCTTGAGAGTGTAAAATGCAGGGATGTGTGTCAAGAGTGACAGCCCTGGCACTCCCACATGGCCTGGCCTGACCTTGCTCACTCCATAAAAATGTTGTGAACAGCCTGTTGCCACTCTCAGAGCCAGCTTGTGTCCTGAAGGAGAGTTCTCCTTTCTTGGAGCACAGATGATTTCCTTGGCTTCACCTCCTGGGCCAAGGAGAGCTTGGCATAAAAGAAGAAAAATGGGTGGAGCACAGGAAGGGACTTGCACATTCCACTGGATCAAAGAAATCTCTGCATCTTTTGGATTGTTTGGAGCCCATTTTGCTTCTTTTCTATTGTGCTGCCACTCTTGTGAGAGGGGATGGGCCTTTGGCTCCATTTCTGCCTGTGTCCAGTAGCTCAGGGGTGCTCCTGAGTGGCACAAATGTTGCTATTCTGGCACCCAAAATATCTCTGAAATATACAATATTTTTATTCCATATTTAGCATTTCCATGGTTTTATAATCCATTGGCAATTTAATGCTGATTTAAAGCCAGCACCTGTGATGGAACCATGCAGCCTCTCTGTGCCCACACTTCATCAAAACAGTGATGTTTAAAGATCATAAATGCAGCATTTTTTCCTGCCTGTGTCCTGCCTGTGTGCCTTCTGAAGAGTTTTCTTGCAGAGAACTTTTGGGCAGCCTGCCCTGGAGAGGCCTCATGGCATCCCCACCTCTCCAGATGTTTTTTCCCTCCTTGCAGCAAGATGGAAACAAAAAATGAGCAACCAAATGGATGGACATACAGACAGAATGATTGAGTGTATTGAATGAAACAAAGAGAACAAATGGTGCAGAAATCAGCAGAAAACCTTTTATTGGCAATGATTACCCAGCATGCCAGCTGATGAAAAATGTGATGTATGGATAAAGAGAATTTAACTGAATGCAACACGTGCAAGAGGAAAACTAAGGTGAATGAACACAGAACAATTAATTGGACAAGCCATGTGCACAACTGGGAGCTGAAAAGATCACTGAATTTGCAGGCATACATTGTACTAATGGGGTGGATAGACAGCTTTTTGTAATTGATTTCTTCCTTTTCATCTAATGCCTGATGTCATTTTGACATTTGTGTCCGGCTGACAAAATCCCTCCACAAACAAAATAGGAACTTACGAGTCCTGGAGTGTTATTTATCTAAAAATCAATTTACAATGCTTGTAAATCCAGGTTTGTATCCAGTGGAGCAATTCCAGGTAGGCTGGATAGGCAGTAATTAAAAATGGAAAAGAAATTAGTAGGGTTCATTTAATTAACAGTTCTTTGTTACTTTGAGTAGCTTTATACATTTGCCAGCTCAAGGAAGATTTCAGAATGTGTCAGTCTTTGTACAGGCTGCAAGAAGTGAGCATTTCATTGGTACTTGTGTGGACAGGGAGGTCTGAGTCTATTTTGGTGACAAAATTTAGAATTTGTATTATTACCATGGGGTCATGAGAGAAAATGCCACATTTCTAAATCCTGTGTTAGTCTTAAATTGCAGTTAGCTATAATGGGTTATAATTGCTATAATTGGGTAAATATCTTTGTTTGGAGAATATATCTTAATTTTTTCAGGGAACATGTTCAGCCTGGAAGCCACCAGGGCTTTTTCATGCACAAGGAAGGCTGATTCTGCTTGACCACATATCAAGAACATGTTTCATTAAGGTGACAGGAATTCTGAGCCTGTTTTCCATATGAGAGCTCACATTTCTGAAAGGGTAATAATCTAGGGCTCATGAGCTGCAGCTTGAAAATTGTTGCAATGCCCTGGGACCTCTATAGAGTTCTCAGAGGAGAGCAGAGGAATATGAGCAGTAAATTCCCTGTGATGTTGCCACGTCACCAGTTGGGTGTTTGGAAGGAGGGGGGAAATAAAGGAGTAAATTCTCTTTTCACTTTATATCCTGGTAATGGCACAATTATAAACTGGTTCTCCCAAATTTTATGAGTTGGGTTTTGTCCATCTCTTTTTCCAGGTGCTGTCTGAAATGAATTTTGGCTTAAAATATGAATCCAGATCATCTTTCCTAGTTTTGGACACAGAGCTCTAAATCAAAGGAATAAAGACCTGATCCATTGCATTCTAACTGAATCCTTGACCCAGATTTCACCTGTAAAAATGAGGACAGGCCACCAGCAGCAAACAAAAGTGCTGCAAAAGTAGTATGTATTTATGTTAAAATGGATAATAAATGAGTCTTGATTTATTGCCAAAACCAGGACAACTTCATGGCTACATCTGAAATGTTTATGTTCATGTGTTGCTTATCAGAACAGTAAGCAGCAAATCAGCATCACAGGCTTGTTTCAAATATTGTTCAGTAAAATGGGCTGTTTAGCTTGAAAGAAAAAATTAAATCCTAGGCAGGGAGATGTCCCATATGCTGCTGTGATTGTAGCAATGGAGTCCTTGTACAAGCAAATATGGGTAAATAATAGTAACACAACACAATTTATTTAGAAACACCAAAAATCCTCTGTGAATTTAATGCCAGATTCTTGACCCTGTTTGCTTTCTTAGAGGAAGTGATTAATTCTTCATGATATAACTCCCTTTAGGCTCTTATTCTGCTCAAAACATTTGCAAGCAAATTGCAGTTGCCAGTTTTGGCTTCAGCTTTACTTAGTGACTATTTTTAAATGCGTTATTTGTGAATTGGCCAGAACTATTGAAGCTGTGTTTTTCAGCTGAGGAATTAGATTAGAGGAAGGTGCATGAAACTGGTTTTGGTACCTTTGTAGTGAAGCAAAAATAGTGGCTTGGTTAATTCAAGCTCCTTGGGGCTTGTCCTGCTGAG